TGTAATTCTGGTCACTTCTGCTTTGGCCACTTCCGCTTTGGCCACTTCCACTTTGGCTTAATGTAAATTAGTTTTTAAAAATCTAATTCTGTTTTTTCAAATGTAATTCCGGTCACTTCCGCTTTGGCCACTTCCACTTTGGCCACTTCCGCTTTGGCCACTTCCGCTTTGGCTTAATGTAAATTAGTTTTTCAAATATAATTCCATTTTTTTCAAATGTAATTCCGGCCACTTTCGCTTTGGCCACTTCCGCTTTGGCTTAATGTAAATTAGTTTTTTTTAAATCTAATTCCGTTTTTTCAAATGTAATTCTGGTCACTTCCGCTTTGGCTTAATGTAATTCCGTTTTTTTAAATGTTGTTCATTTACACCCCAGGGCACCGTAAGTTTAGCAGATAAAACACTGTTTTAGTTTTGTTCACATTTATTTTACAACCATAAAGTTGACTAAAATAGCCGTGCTGAGTTCAGGTACCTGTCGTGTTTGCGGCTGCATGAACAACCAGACCAAACTAAATCAGAGGCTTCAACAACAAAGTTTTGAACACGGACTCAAAACAAAAAGTGTTCCTGTGTAAAGAGCTACAGTTTCCATCTCCTACCTACAGAGGAGGAATTAAGAAGAATGTGGCTGAAAAATGTGAACTTGAAGAGACCACCCAAAACATTTTATGAGCTCATTTCACTTTGTAGACAAACGGTCAATGGAGGAAAACCTGCATCCTACTTTGTGTCTGGACTACAATGAACCACCGGAGAAGAGACGCCGGATCCTCAGAAGAATTGAAAACGATGACAAGAATATCGGGTTTGATTTCAAGTGTGGAGGACACGGCATTATAGTATTTGTTCTTCAGTTTTCTGATTTTCTCTGCAATGAACCAAAGCTCAGTGATGGAGGACTTTAAGGCTTTGGCTGGGCTCTGTCTGCTTTAAGGTCAATTAGATCGTGTCCCACCCCTTTTAACAAAACACCACCAACCTTATTACTGTGTAGATACTGATGCACCGCAGAGCTTTTCAGGTTGTTCATCGCTTCAACGTTGGAAGAACCGAGTCTGTGAAGTAGCTAAATATGCTAGTAGATGTAGCTAAATATGCTAGTAGATGTA